TGTTGCTATTCTTTTCTTCGATCTCCTGTTGGGTTTGTAGGTGTTCAGAATGGTTTGATTCCTATCCAGCTGAATTCCTTAGAGGAGACGAAATCCAGGTCTCCTACTCCTCCGCCATCTTGCCCCGCCTATCTCCAGCGTACATTTTTAATGAGGGATTGTTTGCCGCAGATAGATGAAGAGAGGAGAAAAGTCGTAAATCATGTCACTTTAGAAGCTCTGGAAGGCCTGTGAAGACCATATGGCACCAGAAATATTGCTGTGGCCATTTCTGAAAAATACTACCTGTCCCATAGTCTTACTTTGATATTTAATTTTTAAATTTTAGTTAACACACTTGTTACACATCATGAGTCACAAAATTTATTATCTGTAAAAGCCTTCAATTGTGGATTTTCAAAACAGGATTACTACATAGGAACTATATTTAATGATTAATTTTCTTTTTAATCTCCTAATAGCATATATTAATATTACCTTTGTTTGTTAAGTATCCTCTTAGCTCTTCATTTTATACATATAGAAACGAAGTCCAGTGATCCTAAATGATCTGTCCAAGGCCAAGAACCCCAAGAATCCTTAGCAAAATGATGGGAGGTTCCTACATAAAATATTCTAAAAATAATAAACTTACAGCCCCTGACACAAAATATTGATTTGTTTCTCAAGGCTGATGTTCTGTAGGGTGTTAACATGCTCAGCAAATGGGGATTCTCTGGTCAAATTGGTTTGTAAATGTTGGGTTAAATAAAGACTCTTAGGCACCTTTACTAAGAAGCTTATGAACCTCCAAGAGGAGAAATGTAATAGGTAGTTTTGCAAACTTATTTGACCACAGAAGTAATTTCCCACACATAGAATGTAGTATAAGTGGTAAATGATGTCTTCAACTGTTTCCTAGAATTTTGTCTTGCTTTTTAGAACTTATCTCAATGTCACCACATGCATCTTTTAAAAATTTTATCTGGTTATATCGCCCTTCAACTTCTATCTCTTTAGGGTTCCCTTCTGCCATCAGAGTGAAAGCCCACTCTGGCATGGTATAGAAGGTCCTCAATAACCTGTACAGACCAGATCTTACCACTCCTCACCTGGGGCTTTATGTTCTCAAGCTGTGGTTTTAAATACTCTTATTATTCCTGGGTACCTGAGATGTACCACAAACTCAAATCCAGTAATAGTGGGTGTGGGGTGGTGTAGAGTTCCTTAGGAGGTGTATCTGACTCTCTAGTGATCTCTGGAAGTAGGCCTGCATAGATGTAGCTTAAGAAATGAACTTTTAAAAAATTTTTTAAAAGATTTATTTTATTTATTTATTTGAGAGAGAGAGAGCACGTGCACACGCAAGCATGAGCGGGGGAAGGGGCAGACTGAGAAGCAGACTCTCTGATGAGCAGGGACGTGACATGAGACTCAATCCCAGGACCCTGGGATCATGACTCAAGCTGAAGGCAGACGCTTAACTTACTGAGCCACCCAGGTGCCCAAAATGAACTTTTTTTAAAAAAAGATTTTATTTGTGAGAGAAACAGAGAGACAGGGCACAAGCAGGGGGAGGGGGACAGGGAGAAGCAGACTCCCCACTGAGCAGGGAGGCCAATGAGGGGCTCGATCCCAGGACTCTGGGATCATGACCTGAGCCAAAGGCAGACGCTTAACTGACTGAGCCACTCAGGCACCCCTGAACTTTTTTTTTTTTAACAGCCTTTTAAAAATTTAAAAACCATTCTGAGTTCATAGGTGGCACAAAAACAGACAAAGGCCTGCACGTGACCCACTGGCCAGAGTTTGCTAACTCCTGGATGAGGGGAAAGCATAATCCAGAACATCTAAGACTGCCCACAAGGAGTATTGCTGCAGAACATGGAAGGAGAATGAAGGATGTCCATTTGTAGAGACTATGAAGGCTAGGACAAGATGGCACAAGGGGCAGCTAAGAGAAAGCTGAGGGATGGCAGTGGAACAACCAGGCAGCACAAGCAGGCCCACACCTCTCTCCCCATTTGAGACCAGAGAGCTGAGACAGGAGTATCACTTGCCAGGTGGGAGCAATGCAGGTGGGGGCAGAGACATGGGGTATTATATCCAGTTACTGGTAGCATGCAGGAAAAGTAGGAAGCATAGAATTCAGAAGACCAGCTATCAACATATCCCACCCAGCATCATTCCCTGCCAATCCCACACACTCTGAAAACGGTACCAAGCACATGCCACTGTGATTATGTCCTTCCCCTGGCACAGCTGGGCTGGGTCACAGAGAATGCAGGCTGCTGCCAGGGAATTGCACACAAAAATGAGCTCACTATCTGCAATCCAGCAGATACCTGAGGAACGTAACTGAAAGAAGTGATGAAGAATTTCCACTCAAAGAAGGAGAAGCCAAAGAGCAAATGGAAAAAGCAGCCAAAAAATAATTACTATCCTTAGAAAGACAGAAGGGGAAAGCACATCCATGAAAAAAAAGTTACAAAAAGATCCAAACTGATTAAGAAAACAATTTTTTTAAAGATTTATTTATTTGAGAGAGAGACAGAAAGAGGGGGAGGTGGGGGAGAGGGAAAGAATCTCAAGCCAACTTCCCACAGAGTGCTGAGCCCTATGCAGGGCTGGATCTCACAACTCTGAGACTATGACCTGAGCTGAAATCAAGAGTTAGACGTTTAACTGACTGATCCACCCTGGCGCCCTGAGAAAAGTTTTTGAAATAAAATGTTCATTAGAAGAGCTGAAGAGACTAACTGAGGTGCAAGTTTCAGAGAAATACATGGAATGGAGGAACTTGCCTAGAACTACAACAGGAGGAAGAAATGAAAAGTATAAAAAAAAAGTTGAGAGATGAGAAAAATACAACTGGAAGTTTCATCATCTAAGAAAAGTTGCATATGAAGAGACCACATGGTAGAAAAGAAATACTTGAAGAGCTGAGAATTTCCTAGAACTAAAATACCCAGATAGCGATAGAGCAAAAAGGCCTATCAAGTACTAAGCAGGATAAATAAAGGAAACACACACATGCACATACGTGCACATATATCCCTAGACATACAGTGAAAGTGCAGAAATATTAAGATAAACAGAACTCATAAATGCAATAAGAAAAAAAACCACTATAAAAGACTCAAGAATCAGAATAACCTCATACTTCTCATCAGCACCACTGGGTACAAGAGAACAATGAAGCAGTATTTTGGAAGGACTGAAGAATTTTGCACTGAGGATTTTGTGTCTAGCCAAACTATCAGCACTTATTATGGCAGAAAAAAGACAATCTTGGACATGCAAACACCTGAAGTTTACCACTAGTAGTGATTCAATGACATAGCAGGAATATTCAAGTAGTAATGTTGAAAGAGGAAATTTTTACAATTTACTATTTCTCAAATAAGCAATGATCAGAAAAAATGTTATCTACTAACAGTCTAAGAAGTTAAAGGAAAGATAACAGCAACATGAGCAGCCAGGAGCGGGAGTCAGAGAAACGTAAAAATAGGATTAGGTCCTATAACTTGTTCAGGAAGAAAAAGACTCAAATTGATTCCCCCCCTCTAAGTTAATGCGTTAAAGTGTATGTTGAAATCTAAAATTGAGAATGAGAACTATTAGAGGGAAATGTATATGGATGTACAGACACAGGGAAACGTCTGGGAGGGCCATGGTTTCAGTAATAATGAACCGCTTGTGCTTTTCCTCACATGCTCCTATAGGTTCAAATGCACTGCTCGTGTCTTCCTCCACAGCATGAGTACTGCCTTCATCTAACCCTCTCCAAAAACCTTCAGAATTCTCCTTGCCCCCACCACTGATCCCAATGTATGATAAACAAATTTCTATGACAGCACCTACAACACTTATTTAAACTGGTTGTTGACAAAACAATCTTGTTCACTAGACCTAAGTTCCTTGGGGACTCCTTGCTTCTATATTCTTTACCACCATTGTTGTTATTCAGTATGTTTGCTGACTGGATGGATATAAAGGCAACTTGTACATTTAAAACAGTTAGTGACTAACAGAGATTGTATATGACCAAGGCTATAAATGATTTAACTACATTAAATCATAAATTTAAATTAATGTAGTTAAATCATTTATTGTGAGAGAGTAAGAACCATGTCTAAATAATGATTACGTCTGTGTTAAAGTCATCTCTGCATCTCCTTGTTAAGTTTAGATATCAGCGAAGATGAACTAGATAATATTAAAGTTATTCTTAGAGCCTTGAGATAGAAGACATCTTAAAAGACTGTGTGACTGACTGCTCCTGAAATCATACTACACCTGCAGAAGCTCTATGTCTTCACGGTTTTCAGATCCAGGAATATTCTCCATCAATATGGCGGACATCACTCTCACATTCATTTTCACCATATCCAATTCACTGTGCAATTTTGCAATCTGTGGGGAGCAACACAATCACAAGTGTGACACGAAGAATGGTTACCTTGTTTTCTGCTACCAAGGAGATATTTGCTAGTAGAGAAAAGGGTTCTGCGAAATTTAATGTTTTCAGATTTATGTAAATATCTAATTGTTTTATAAATGTACAATCTGTTACCTTCTAAAAGGACTTGAGATCTCATGTAATAAATTTCTAGATTTATGCTAGAAATGTGCTCTAAGAAAGTTAAAAGTGAAGGGAAAAAAGATTAGAACCAATACAGAGAAGGGAGAAGGTGACTATAGTGGGAACCTAGACAAAATGGCAAATGTTAGTGGCAAAACCAATGGGAAAAAAAAAGAGCATTTTCTAGTTCCCATGGTGTTAGAAAAGGAAAAAAAAAAAAAAATCAAGAAAAACACTTTTTTTCTTCTTGCACTGAATTCTAAGAGGAATCAATCACATGGATTTTTATAGAATACTGAATAATAATGCAGTCAAATGACAGTTCCTTCAGCAGAACATAAATAAGCGTCAATAATAACTGATTAGCTGGACCTCTGATAAACAGATATAAACAAAAAAAGTAAATGTAAGTCAGTTGATACAATTAATATTAGTAATAAGGCTACCACTTACTGAGCTCCCTGAAACGAGATATGGACAGTCCTATCAGGAGTAACAGGAATCAGTTGGTTGATACAAGATCCATTCCACAGCCCAGCCTCCACAATGACAAAGCCACTAACCAAGGACAGTGGTTAAGAACTTGGGCTTTAGAATCAGACAGAATCCATAGGATTCATTCTACTTAGAACTGAACCATGATCAGTCACATATTATCACTAAGCTTCAGTCTTCTCCTCTATAAAGTGAAGGTGATAATGTGCCTCCACCTCCTAATGTTAAGAAGGATAAACAAACTGTAGGGGCACCTGGGTGGCTCAGTTGGTTAAGCATCCAACTCTTGGTTTCGGTTAAGGTCATGATCTCAGGGTTGTGAGACTGAGACCCATGTCAGACTCTGTGCTCAGCATGGAGTCTGCTTGGGATTCTCCCTCTCCCTCTGCCCCTCCCCCTGCATGCATGCTCACTCATGCTATCTCTCAAATAAATCACTAAGTAAAAACAAGAAGAATAAATAAACTGTATATGAAGTGCTGATAAGTTAGAGTGAGTCATCAATAAATACAGTTGTCACTGTTGTTACCTGTTCTGGGACCAGTGTAAGAGTAGAGCTCTTGGGAACAATTACAGAAGGAAGAGCTGGTGCGGTAGGAACAGAGGTTGGTGGATTCGAGGAGATCTGAGCGGCCTATCAATGTGAAATATGGAAATATTACTACTGGAATAACACAGCCACCCCAAGCCCAGTTTTTCCACTTAGATGGCTCAATCACTTCTCTCAACCAAAGGTCCTGGGGAGAGGGTGCTGGCCCAGAGTCAATCATCAAGTGTGCTATCTGCCCAGCATTTTTTGAGAAAAGTGCTAATAGTGTGCACATAATATAGTGAGTATTCAATAAAAGGTGGCTTTTATAATTAGTAACTAAATTACAATTTAATAAAGTGCTCTTAGTTTATCCAAGGATCTGCAAGATAAACTGCCACGTGAGATTATTGCTGCCCTCTCTTTAGGTTTTTAAAAAGAAATGCTAAGTCAATTCATATCAAGTCTTTTTAGGCCACAACTGGCAAGATACCTCCTTCTCCCCTAAGGAATGCCTCTCAAAGTCAATTCCTCATTGCCAACTTTGAGCAGAGAACCCGAAGCACAGGGCTCAGGCCAGAGTTTTGACATTAAGGTCCAGAGAAGTCACCTAGAAGTCTTGTAAAAATTAGGAGTTTAATTTAGTAGATTCCAGTGGAATATGCCTAACAAGCTTCCATATTATATATACCCCAAATCACATATTGAGTAACAAGGTCCTACACCACCACTATATTATGCCTTGAAAGAAAGACTAAAAGAGGCATGGTGAACAGACTCATGGCAGGTACGAGGTTGGGGCAGGTGGCTAGTGGCCAGGGAACAAACTGTACAAGTAGAAGAGTTAGCTTTCTGGACAAAGCCTCCACAAAGATGAGACTTCTGGTATACACCTGAACTGCTTTTCCATCAAGCCAGGACTCACCAATCTACAGAAGGGAAGAATGACTGTTTTCACACTTATGGAAATTACGGAGTTAAGAGCTGAACTGTAATTAGTACTCAAAGTATTACAAGTTCAAAACCTTATTTGCAAAAATTATTATTAATACAAGACTCTCCGTGGTAGAGACCCTTGCCTGTCTAGCATGACATCTTTCTTTTGAAAACTGCCCCCTCCTCTGCTCTATCCAAATGATTTCCAGATGGAGTCACCATCTTCTTACATGACCTCAGTTAATTTGTTCTGAAGTAGGAAACCAACCCAGATTGGTCCCTTTTCCAAGGTTTTTGAGCTTGGAATCTGAAAAAGCTAAAGCTCTAACATGAAAATTTAAGACCTATGTTATCTACTATGTGGGAAAAGCTAGTCTGCAATGAGAGACAAGTCATATTTGAGTGGTTTGTTCTCTGTTGTTTCAAAGATCCAGTGAACACCAACCTTCTTGTGGCTTGATTATTCTAGGAGATATTACAATGGCCTTCTCATAAATTCATCTTTTTGCGTAGATTGGACAGAGGCAGGGTTGTCCCTTTCAAAGAGAGAAGACTTAATATACTATCTAATTCTGTATGAGCTCAAGAAAGTCATCCTACCTCTTGTCTTGCTGTTTCAGCCTCTGCATCTGAGGGAGGAAACTGAACACCTTTCTTGAGAAGGTCAAGGTACACTTCTTTCACTTCGCTGACATCCACACCTCCTGGGAAACCTTGCGACCAAGTCTGAATTCAAGAGATGGGTCCAGAGTTAAAACAGCAGCAAAATCAAAACACAATTTTTAAGCTGGTGACAGAAAATGAGAGATTGACAATTATGTATCTTACTCAGAGAGCTGGTTTTGAATGTCACAGACAAAAATGTATGTTTTCAGAGACTAGAAAAACAATATATTTTTAATCATCAAATTCCCATGCCTCAGCATTTTAAAGAAAGCCTGGAATAGGTATTGTTTTTTTTGCTGTACTGAATCCAGAATTAATAGACAGATTCTAAAATACCATCAGTAGTTCCTTTGCCAAATAACTTTGAAAGTAGTCCGCTGTGTACTCTAGAACATAGTTTGTCTGCCAAATAAATGTACACATTACTCTTTTTCTTACCTGACATGAATAAGATAGAAACTGAGAGAAAGTAGGAAGATAACTACAAATTCTTCAGAAAAAGGGCACCATGCCATACCAAGAAATTATTATGACTCGGAGAATGAAAGAGTAAAATGCTCTCTGGCTTGATCCTAGGTCTGTAAAGGATCACTAAGCCTATTGGGAGGTACATAATTAGAGCTCCCATCTTAGAGGTCTACCATCCCATAAAGCATACAATAGACTTACCTTGATGAAATTCAAGATTCTATGCTGAATGTCTAATGGCAAGGTGTATCTGGGGTTCAGAAGCTTAACCAGACTATCTTTAATGAATTCCTTCTTCACAATCAGAGATTGGAAACTTGGACCACAGTTCTGCATGCACATGTCAATAAGCTAAATTAGACAGAAAAATTAAAATTTAATTATATCTCTGGCAAAAACCACCTCCTAAATATAAGGTAAAAATTGCTAAGTAATGATTTCCACCAGCATTCCAACTAAACAGGATTTAGTGTCTACTAAAATCGATGGCAAAGCATTAGGTTCTGGGAATGTGAGGAAGTATGTAAGGCATGAAGGAATGGTCTGGATGATAAATTACAGAGTCATCCTCATTACAAATCTTTAAATTATCACCAAGTGATAATTTAGGGCCAGGTGGTCTTAAGACTTTCAGTGAAAGGTGGTCCTAAGCTGGCCTTTAAATAATAACTAAGTACAAAGGAGTATAGAGCTATATTCCAGGCAGGTAAGTGGTATTTAAATGAATGAGTGAATGAATGAATGACAAAGCATTTAAGTTATCAGGAGGAAAATGAGTACTGTGGTTTGTAGGGGATTCTTCATGTAGGCAGACTGAGACACTGGGAAGGTGGTGTGGATGAAGTATGGAGGGGCATCATGCAGACTGTAGAGAAATGCATGGCAGTGAATGGGAAGAGTTTGGCCACTGAACTAAGAAGCCAGTGAAGGGTTCTTGTTAGTTTGTCACCATCATACCTCTATTCTGAACTTGAGAGAAAGGTTAAGGACTGCAAAGTAATACTCTAGGAAGGTTTTCAAGCAGCACTCTACAAAGGGGACCCAGAAGGATGGAGAATCCAGTAGGGACCTACTAGTCCTAGACCCACTAGAACCAAGGCAGAAAGGCCTAAACCAGGGAGATATGGGTGCAAGAAAAGGAAAGACAGGAATCACAAAGGCAGAACTGTACAACTGACATGTGGCGGAAAAGGATGGCTGAATGTTAGGCCGCTGTTATTCTGCAGATTGATGGCACCTTGGATGGAAATTTGGAAGTGGACGGAGTTGCAGGCTTGGTCTGGGGTAAAAATGAGGAGATGAATTTTATTTTTAATTTTTAATTTTTATTTTTTGAGAGAGAGCGAGCATGAGAGCAGGGCAGGGTAGGAGCACAGGGAGAGGGAGAGAGAGAGAGAGAATCTTAAGCAGGCTCCATGCTCAGCTCGGGGCTTGGTCTCACAACCCTGAGATTCATACGGCTTAACCAACTGAGCTACCTAGGCACCCCGATGAGTTGAATTTTAGATATTTTGAGTTTCACAGTACTATGGACTAAATGTCTGTGTCCCTCCCAAATTCATATGTTGACATTCCTAATCCCTAATGTTGAGGGTATTTGGAAGTGGGTCTTTTGAGAAGTAATTAGATCATGAGCGTGTAGCCCCGAGGAATGAGATTAGTGCCCTTATAAAAAGGCACAAGAGATGATCTCTCCTGGCTGTGTGAGGATGCAATGACAAGAAGGCCACCTATAAGCCAAAAAGTGGGCTCTCACCAGACATTGGATCTGCTGACACCTTGACCTTAGCCTTCATAGCCTCCAGAACTGTGAGAAGTAAATGTCTGTTGTTTACACCAGCCAGTAGGTGGTATTTTTGTAATAGCAGCCCAAGATGATAAAGGCAAAAGAGATGGTGGGACATTCAAGTAGCGATGTTTAACGGAGCTATCCATGCACAGCTGCAGTTCAGGAGGGAGGGAGCCTAACATGAGAAACCAAGGCTGCGTGTGAGGAGCAGGGAAGAATGGCTAGAACACTGGGGGTTCACCTATCACATCGGCCAGAAGAAACTCCATGAAGGCAACCAGAGAGCAACCAATGGAAACTGAAGCATAAAATATAGAGAACATAACATTGGGAAAGTCAAAAGAGGGCAATTTCTACAAGGATCGTGTGTCAAAACAGCAAAGGATGTGAATGGAGAAAAACACAGCTAGGTTTGTCAGTTAGTGGGGTCATTAGGTTTGGGGGGCATTTTCAATTAAGCAACATGAGCAGAAGTAAGGCTAAGAAGAAAGGAGCTGGCATTGAAGAACTGCATGCAGAAAGCAGATTTCTACAAGTGATCTAAAAACAAAGTTAAAACTCCATTTTCCATGCTGCCACTTCTCAAGTAGAGAGGTCACAGAAACCCATAATGGAACCAGGAGAGGTATGATCATCTCTGCAGAAAAGCAGCCCTGAAAATGGATGCTCCACCCTGCTCTGTACTGTGTCACTAGAAGGGCAATACAAAAAGAAGGTATGAGAGCTGTAGTTTTAAGGGCAATGTGGCTAAGAAGGCAATCAGAAAATACAGAAACTGAACACATGCGGCTAGTTATCTGAAACACAGCAAATATTGATTTTTAAAGACCTACTTATTTGAGAGAGAGAGTGCACGAGCTAGTGCACAAGTGGGGGGAAGGGGCGGAGGGAGAGGGAATCTCAAGCAGACTCCGCTATAAGTGCAGAGCCCAATGCAGGGCTCAATCTGAAGACCCTGAGATCACGACCTGAGCCGAAACCAAGAGAGGGACACTCAACTGACTGCACCACTCAAGCGCCCCTGAAACACAGAAAACATTTAAAGCGAAGGAAAATAAAAACAAAATCCAAAACCTATTGAGATGAATATTTTAAAGCAAGTTGTTCAGAGAAAGTTAAGTTGAAATTTGAATAATGAATGACTTTTGCTGGATGCATTATGATGAGTTATTAGGTGAAATACGGAGAGGAAAAGAACCCCTAGTTCAATGGGAATTTACAGAAATACTTCATCCAACCCATTAGGCAGTCTCATTAGGCAAGACAGCCTCCAAGTCTCACTTTCTCTAATGGTGAAACGAATGGGGAGTTTCTTGCTAAATATTTCACAAACCAATTTTTATCTTTGGATCACTGAGATTTTATGGTAATGGGTAACATTCCCAGGAGGTTACATGCATAAAATCAGAGCGTCAACATGGAATGCTGAGAAAGTTAACATCTGGAGATCACAAATCATGGCCCTTTGTGTTTTCCCACTGGAATCTAGAATTTCAGGACTAATTACTTCTAGCTCACCTCTTTCATTATATCACCGGTACCTCTTTCACCCCAGAGTCCACTGAGTATTGTGGCAAATTGGAAGAATTAATATGTTGCTTTTACACATTTTGAAATTGGGCTTTGGTATGATTTAGGTATTCAGATTGTGTTCAGATAACCTATCTTTGGAAATAGGAAAACCAAGACACCATAATCTCAGGGGGGATAGGGAACCTAGAACCCAAGGGACGAAGAGAGATTAAAGAGAGTAAGACTTCAGGCCTCACTAATCTCTGTTTGTGCTGGACTCGGACGCTGCTTATCGTTCTAAGCCTCAGTCTTCTCATCTGCAAAATGAGCCATAATATCTCCCTCTAGAGACTTCTTGTAAGGCCTAATGAAATATAATGCATATGAAGAGGCGGACATGGTGCAGGACCTTAATAAATGGTAACTATTTTGATCATCTCTTTCCATGGACAATTTCCTATCAGGAGAGAATCTGTTTAGCTGATATAAGTATTCTTCTTAGAAAGACTGGAAAAGGAGCCACTTGGTAGTTTTAGTTCTTGCAATAAATTTCTGAACCAAGCACAGTAAACCAGGCTTTGGGGCCATCCAGAGTTGAAGACCCCACCAAGGTATGGCCATGCCAGGGGATGAGCTCACTCTACAATGAGCTCGTGGAGGAATGGACACATACTACACAAATTCTGAAGCCCCTACAGCTCACCACCTAGGTGGTGGTCCACAAAGGCCTATTAATTAATTGATTTCCAGGAACCTGTTCAACAGCTTTCCACTTGACAATGATAATATGTCTTGCTGAGACTTATCACAATTGACTCATTCAAAGGGTTAGCCTCTGGCTAAGAGTTATGAAGCTTGGTAACAAACTGCTTTTTAAAAAATAAAACTACTGGCTTCTTGACAAAACTTCTCCACCAACTGATGGTAGGAAATCACAGTGTAGTCCAATCCCATCAAATACCTGACTAAGGCTAACAGGTCCGTGGAGAAACCAAATGACACATAATTCAAAGAACATTTATAATTGACTTTGACAGGCTCTCATCACTTCAGAGTAATGAAATGGAAGTGTCATATATGGGGATTCATTTTTAAAGAACTGATTGGTAAACATTTAATTGCTTTGATAGACACTGGATGATTCTTTCTGTGATTCACTTCTCTCATAATTAGGTCTTGCTTAAGTTAATATTAAAGTCCATTCTGAAGCCAAAAACACCTCTGCAATGCAGTGAGTAGTCAGAAGTGAGGGGACTGGGCAAATATGCAGGAGGCTATCAAGAGTCAAAGGCCTATTTAAAGAAAACCCAAGAAGTAGGTACCTTAATGAACTCTGACCCTAACAGTGAGGAGCTATTCTGATCCCCAACCCATGACTCTCCCCCCCTTATTTTGGCACAGGTTTTAGATTTGTTTGTTCTCACATTCTGGCATGGAAAACACAAGGTGGAAGATGTACAGTTATCTGAGGTGGGGCAGGTAATGGGAACGGGCAGCTGGTACAGCTAGCTAGTATGGCTTGAGAGATCAGACTACCTGAAGGGAAGAAGAATGGGGACCCAAAGAGAAATGGAGGGCCAGAAGAGACAACACTCTAGAATAACGCCGCTTCCTCAGGGAAGGGTCCCAGCTCAATATCAGAAGAAGGAACTAGGATAGAGAAAGATAGAGAGATAGGGTAAGAAGCAAGCACAGAAATGCCAAGAAGGCTGGGTACCACAAGAAAAAGACACACCCACTATACAGAATAAACAACAGAATAAACATAGGTGGTGTAAATTCATCTTCCGTCCTTATCTTCTTCAGTCAATTCTCCAAACCTTCAGCAGCCTTGAGATAGCCTAGATCCCCTCCATTTTAGGGCACAGCTACATCGCTTTCTATCCCAATTCTACAGTACATTCCATTAGCCCTGGAGTCTTCCTGGATACAAGGAGAGTGGGATGGGGGCTGAAGGACAATCGGCTCAGTCCCTGATACACTGATGTACTGAGTTTTGCACCAGGTACTAAGGAGTTGAAGACACCAATGAAACACAGTCGTTCTTCAGAGGAGATTGATCCATTCTGAGAAGCAAAGTGGTATGGCGTAAGGGCCTGGGATTTAGAATCTGAGGATTGAGTTAAAATCTTGCCTATGCCTCTTAAATAATGGAGGAAAAGAAAACCCCACAACCTCACTGAGTCTGTTTCTTCATCTGTGAAACAGAGTTAAGAATAGAACTACTCCACAGGGTTGTCAAGAGCATCCATTAAGTACCAAAGGTTTTTCCCCCCATCATCGACCCATGGTTCTGGTAGTTCTACTTTAGTGCTTACTCATCTCTCAAGTTCTTCCATTCTGGGACCTTCCCTGAGGTGGCTGCTATGAATAAAGGACAAGGGAGAGGTTTTTAAAAAAAAAAAAAAAAAAAAAAAAGAGGTAAAGGAGGAAAAGGCCTCTAAAACTATGTCCACATCCTAACTTGAAGGGTTTCTTCAGAGATAGTGTCAAGACCATTTAATTCATTTCTTCTCATTCTGTTAATCTCCAAGCAAGAGGTGAGTTTTCTTCCCCATGAAACTCAAACACTGGAGTTGTGTGTACCTCAGCCCCATAGTCCTCTGGATGAACACTCCCTGAGTCCCTCAGGGGAGGGTGATGCTGGCTGGTTAGGGCCCTAACCCTGTGGCCTGGGGCCTGGCTGAGGTAAACAAAGGCATGCGGGAGAAATGAGAATGTCATATGGCTCACTCTCAGGCAGCAGGCAGGGCTGGCAAAACATACCATAGTAAAAATGGCAACTCACCGAAATGACTGAAGAGGTCATATGGCCGAGGATGAGGGGAAAAACGGGAATGCATCCAATAAGTGCCCACACCCGAGTCACAGACAATAAGGTGTACAGCACTGTTTAAATCAACAAAGAACGGTCTCCAAATTATACTACACAGGAGAGCTTGGTTGAAACTTAAGGAGCTGCAAGCACCTCAGAATTCCACAGAGCTGTTCAAGTAAAGGTAAAAAGCTAACAGGGAAGCATTTTTCAAGACTTCAGTTCTCCTCATGGGTAACACATACACAGACTTCTTGACTCGTTCAGGATCTACAAGTTTTGTATTACCAGTTCCCATCTCCTGACCAGGAAAAGCTGACTTTCCAGGAACACACTCTTTCCACAAAATTAAATGCTATGACAATCAGCAAAACTCTCCCAATTCTGTAATTCTCAGTTTTAATTCATACTCAAAATAGATTTTTGCTAATATTTTTTTTTAACCAAAAACTAAAGATGTGTCTACGTCTTAGGAAATCCTGGTCTTGATTATAACATTAAAAGTACTTACTGACAAGGTGAGTTGGATTTCTTTATGATTGTAGTTTTTCGAAATCCTTTTCTTCAAAGCTTTTACTGCATCTTTTGGCCTACAGCAATAAATACAGTGAAATCATCAATTTAGGCATTGCTGAAAATAAGTAGTCTCTGAAAAGCAATGTACATTGTGGAAAGAGGAGTGGCTAAAGAGAAGACCAAGGCCCTGATTCTGCTTGAGCAGATTACTTAATTTCTCACACGTGTTTCCGCATACATCTAGACAGACAATACTATCTACCCACTTGAGAGAATCAAGTATTTACATAATAGTATTACCTAGAAAGCACTACATGTGAAATGCACTCATATCCCTATCCCTCTATCAATGCACAAAACTGGTTTACAGGAAATGTAATTCCCAAAACAATGAAGGTTACCATTTTTGATTAAGACTATTTCCCGAGCACCCTCCAGGGTAGGTGATGCAGGAGGAATTATGACTAATTAGGTCAGCTTCTAATAGACTACCATTTTACATTATAAAAGAAAGACTTATGTAAAAGTAGAGGATCGAAATTTACTTTGAGGTGGTCAAAAGGTACAAACTTCCAGTTATAGGATCAATAACTCCTGGGGACATAAGATATAATATGATGACCATAGTTAACACTGCTGTATGGTATATTTGAAAGTTGCTAAGAGTAGACACTAAAAGCTCTCATCACAAGGAAAAAAAATTTTTTTTGAAACTATATGGGGTGACAGATGTTAATTTATTGTGGTAATCATTTTATAATACATGTAGGTCAAATCATTATGCTATACACTTTAAACTTATACAGTGCTGTATGCTAATTGTAGCTCAATAAAACTGAAAAAAGAATACAAATCCTTTTTACATACTACCTTCCAATTTTGTCTGTGTTTGCATGGGTAGAATTTTTATTATATGACAATTACACATGTTTACATAGAATTACAACTATTATAAATATATAATTATATTTCTAAAAAATCGCATATAGAATCTAGTATTAAACTTTTAGAAAGGTTTAAGAATAAAGATACTTTTTTGAAAGGAAAAACTTTACTTTGAGATTCCTTTTTGTATTATCAATGAAAAAATTAGTATTATCCATGAAGAAAAGTTTCAGAGGATCCAAGATTATAGGGAAAACACCATAAACACCTTAAAGTACTAACCTTAATACACTCAATTAATATAGTCAACAATTAAGTGTAATGTTTTCTTCGTCAACAATCAGCATAAACTAGACCAAATCTTTTTGCTATCAGTTACCGCTTGAATGTGCCCAGGATAATTAACAGAATTGTATCCTTTATAACAACCTGTAATTCAGACTAAAGTCACAAATAGTTGGCCTGATTTTTTTTTAAATATATCAAAAAAGGAAACATCAAATTTAATTTAAAGGAAAAAAATCAGAAATTGTATGAGAAAACAACAGAACAAATCAATTCCTGAAAAAAAAAAAAAAAGAGTTCTGCATCTTGGTGATCACATTTATTGAAAGGGTTGGAAAAAAATTAAAATGTCCTTTAGCTTAAGAATTTTTTAGTTATCCGCAAATCAACTTGTTTCAGAAGTGGAAGAATCCTTGGTCATTTCTTAATATCAAAATTTACGCAGGTTTCTCTTTTGAATGTCTTCTACATTTAAAAAGGCAATCATACAAAAGCTCCTATATTCCATACATGATAAATTCTTTGTTTCAGCCAACTCTTAATGGAGGGGCAACTAGTACAACACCATCTCCCCGGACAAAAAGCACTGGAGTATTCTGTTTTGTTGATTTATATATCTCTTCGTATGTTTCCTCATCAATTTTTATAGTAGTACAGTTTCTTCCACATCTCCCAATATCATATTTAAATGCTGATCATAAGCACGTAACCTGCCTCGAAGCTCTCTGTCATTTCTCATTTTCACATAAATTTGCTCATCCGGGCTGAGCCTGATGAGATCCAGGGGCTCTTCTACAGTGTTGGTAGTTTGTTGCTGGTCCACGTTGTCCGCCATGTTTCAAACCCTGCGCCCTTTCCCCTGGCCTTACTGATTTTTTTTAAAGCTTTAATTCCCTAAAGTTTAAAAAGTATAACAAAAGACAGCACATCATTGAAGAACACAGCATGAAGGTGGGCGAGTTGACATTAAGAAAAAATTGTCTTATAACGAGAAAAAAAAAAAAAAAAAAGACTGCTTCATTATTTCCTGGTTAATAATGACAACTGCCCAGGACAGGTCACCACCAGGAGTTCATGAGCTTCTGGATAGTATTTTTCACTTACGGTAGCATAAAATACTGGCTATCAGAGCAGAGGGAATTTCTAAAGAAGGAAACAATTCTGCTTTCTTTAAAGAAAAAGGAATTGGAGCTTCCCAAAGACAAAATTTAAAAACTATTAAAGAAAAGGCAAAGAGAAAAATGATAATGCATTCTCAGATATTCCACATGCTGAAATAAGCAGCTGTCTTTATGTTTCAACCAGACATGTCTTCAAAAGATAGTGGTGTCCAAGGTGGGATGAAAACACTCAACAAGAAAACCAGAGTCTAAGAGAAAATGTGCTGTGGTTCTGATGCTTCTTATCAGAGGCAAATGCGTGCACCACACACTGTACTCACCCATCATGGGCAGTGTTAATTATGTCGCAGATGTGCATAAACTGGCCCCAATCTTCAGTCTGAACTCCAGCAAATGTAGCCTTTTCTGCAAAGAAAAAGCTGTTGTGTTGAGTCTGAGCTACAACAGAATAAAAAATGTCTGGTCTTCCTGAAATAATCTGCCTGGGGTTCACTAGCAAGTATCATTAAGTTTATATTACCAAAAGGCAAAGAGATTTTTTTTTTCCTGAGCAATTCCCAGTAATTCCGGAATCAATCAGAACTCAAGTTCAGAGTGCTGTCATTACAGCAGTAATGAATGACCTATTATAAAAGCTGCAGGCACAACATCGGGCTGTAGGGCCACGATGGGTCGGCTAAATCTCCGTCTGCTGGCCTGTCTCCCTGAAGACAAGAACCTATTGAGCGGCCACCTACAAACCCAAGTGCAAAGTATTTTATCTTATGCAACTTCATTTAACCCACTGTTATAGATGACGAAACAGAAGTTCAGAAAAGTTAAGAAAATTACCCAAGGCTACACAGCCAGTACAAGGTAGAACTAGCATTCAAATTTAAGTTATTTGATGTCTGTTTTTGTTTTTTTTAAGTCATTTATTCTTGGTGGGGGGGGGAGAGGGGGCATGTCGAGAAAGAGATCAGAACTACTGAAATTGTCTGTGTCCTTGAGCATTAAAGCAAGGTCACTCCCAGCACCTGTACTAACCAAAGCTGCACTAGGCAGACTTGAATGCTTCTGCACCTGGAACCCCATCAAACAATTAGATATTTTTCCCTCTCCACACATTCTCCTTAAGAATACAAAATGCCATCTGGGAAGAGTAAAAAACACAACCTAAATGAGCTCAATATATTTCCTTCATGAAAGGAGAAGATTCTCAGCATGAAAACAGGAGGTCTAGGGGGAATGGAGAGAAAGTTAAAAAGGATAATGAAGAGGAAGAAAGAATAGGGTTTGGTTGGGTGAACCCCAAAGCTTAGCCTGCTTCCAATCTAGGAAAAAAGCTATTTGAATTTGGCATTCCATGGACAAAGCTGACTGTGTTGTTTAGACACATACTGTTGTTCCTTCTGCCAAATTCCCTGCTCTCTATTCCCTGTGCTTCCTCCCACCTTCCCATTTTAGAAAACTCCTATTCACCCTTCAAATTTATCCCTTAAGTTGAGTGTTTTGTGGTTTCCTTGTATTGCAAAGGTACCGTACTGTAGTTACTACCTGTGTCCCTCTTCCCTACAAGATTGCACATTTCCTGACGGTTGAGACCATGTCTCATCTTTGCCTCATCCAGGTCCAGGCATATAGCTGACAGCAAATATTTACAGCATTAAATAATTCATCAGCCTATGAAGAGGCAATCTGAATCTATTTCTACTCAAAGTTCATTTTAATATCCAATAGGGATACAGCCAGCAACAGTTTAGAAAGCATTTCCCCCTTAGTGATAGTTACTCTCACCCACTTCTAAAGATGGGGGAATCTTAAAAGGTTCAGGTTGAGTGGCGTGTTCCCTGTTAACTGAGCTGCAGGCAAAACTGCCCAAATCGGAGTCTTCTTACTATAACCACTAGGTTCTCAGGATTTTGTCACCCCACTAAGTTCCTGACATTATCACGCTTTGCTTGGCATCCACAGGCACTGTGCCACACCCGGTTCCCAAGGCGGGTTTGGAGGCGAGGCGGAAGAAGGGAGACGGTGCTGGTAAAAAACAGTCCGGTCCCTGGTTTCTGCTTCCCACTACGTTATTCAGAGTACAGCCACGGAAGGAAGGACTTGGGCAAATACCTGCGTGGTCGCTCCAGAGCCCTCCTGTGACCCCAGATCGCTCCCCTACTCCCCGCTTCCTTCACTCCAGTGCTGCGCATTTTCATTCTCTTTGTTTACCCAGAAAAAGTGACTCAGGTTGTTAAGGGCTCGACGCCAGAGAGAACTGGTTTCAAGGGACCTGCGTCTCACAGTGAAGTCACGTCTCTCCCTCTTCGGTAAAACAGACACAGCCACACTGGGCCCTCCAGTGGGCAGCGCACTTGACGAACAACTTTCCCCTGGCTCGGAGTTTACCCTTTCTCCTTGCACAGGCCCAAACACTCCTCACCTGAATCCCGTGCGTGGTTCACCTGTTCGGTTCCACGCCCCAGGAAGCACCAAAAGGGAGGCAGATTTTAAGGAGGGGTTCCAAGGGGAGTCAGCCATAAAGAAATGCCTCAAAGGGGCCGGGGGTGGGGGTGGGGGTGGGGAGGGATTCGGGTGCTCTGTGAAAGTTGCAGGGGGAGGGGAAGGATTTCCTCAAACTTGGACGAGGCCGAGAATGCAGTCAAGCGGGAAGGGGCCCCGGGTCCCCAAAGCCTGCCCTGGCGTCTCCCTCCCCCGCTCTTTACCTATGAGGTGGCCTACGGAGGTCGCATAGGGATCCCGGTGACTCTTCCCAAACGCCATAGTAGCCCCACCGAGCCGGGCCCAGGAAATCCGCCTCCACCGCTCTCGGGCTCCCGACTCCACCCGCTCGGTGCCCCTAGCTCCTCCTCTTCGCCCGGGCGCTTCCCGGGCTCCGCCGAGGCTGCGCGACCTGCCCGGCCGCTGCGGGGCGCCGGGCATCCGG